TTAGCGTTAATAGCTCTCCCAATAAGAAGAGGCCATGTAGCATACTCACAAGAGATGGTCCTCACGATCCGTTACTAGCAGGTATAAAAGGATCTCTTCTGTCTCAAGGGAGAGATCCATATTCTTTCTCATGAAGATTAACCTAAGATTTCTCTCTCACACTAGACTAACTTGATCATCGGAGCGAAGTCCTGGGAGAACACCTGGTCGTTCTTTAACGATTCTTTTGTGATTGTGTTCTCAGGGAAGCATCTAAGTCAGATCAATCATTCAGTATCCAAACCATCTGCAAACATGTCACAACATTTGGCGCCATCCGGACGGTACCCTCAGGGTGATACAGCCAATTAACGACACTGGTTCTTTGTAAAACAACGATCTATGCCCGACAGCACCTACGCTTACAACACCATATCTGTTTCGAATACCACTGGTGATAACTAATGAACACCATTGCGAGTATAGAACGCAGACTCCAATCTAGGCGCTCATGGCACATATCTCACTGATTATGGGGCCAGTACTCCATAGCAGTTTCAAGCAACCATCATCGAATGGTTCATAATATCAGACGATGATATCGCATCCTAATCTACTGCAGAAACCTCCGCATAACGGCATGGAAGTACTTACTATCTCTCATCCTCATAAGAGAAACACGAATAATAGAGCAGGGGATGAAATAGAGGTACTCTCAAGAAATCTACTCAATATCAGTTTTTTCGAGCAAGGATCCCATACCATTCAACTGGGATTCTAGAGATCTGCTCCTCATATCTGGATTTATTCATAGCACGAAAATCTATCAAACATATGTCGACAATGGTAGTTGCTCTGATATACTCTATGAGCACTATTTTAGACAGCTACTAGACGCGTGGAAGCAGAATACAACATCCTATTCGGACGATTGGAAATCTCCTCACTACACCCCATACCATCAATGATCCATGGCATAGTTAAATATATCAAAGGTTGATGGACAAGGTATTCCCCGACCAAATTGGTAGGAATATTGAAGTTTACGGTGATGATATGGTTATTAAGAGCCGTGATGAGGAAACATTACTCCAAGATATGGAAGAAACCCGCAGAACGCTAGCTAACGCGCAGATGGGATACCCCAGTCCCACAACCAACAGGTTGGAATGCCCACGTACTATGAGTCCAATCATCCTCGGGATGGAATACTCATGGCCCACAACCAACAGGTTGGAATGCCTAGGTCTATTGGCCTCCGCACAAAGTAGGTAAGCCTCAACCGCCAAACAAACATGTGTGTACATATATATATATATATATATATATATATATATATATATATATATATATAAAAGATAATCACATATTAGTCTATAGACAACAACTGATCTAACGGATCATACCACATAACAGATAATACCATCCTATCTACCAGGATACCGATCTAACAGATCATACCACATAATGCATAACATTATCCTACCCTCTAGGATACCGATCTAAGATCATATCACATACCACATAATATTATCCTACCCTCTAGGATACCGATCTAACAGTGCATACTAGCATAACATACCAGATAACAATCCAAAGGGTCGGCCTTGGTGCCTTAGACCCTTAAGTATAGTAAGGACAACTCACCTTTCAATTGTCGATTGGAAATAGAAAGTTCAACTCTCAAATCACCGTCACGAACTTCATCACCTATATCCAACACATCACAAGGTTCATAAATCCCCAGATACCCCCCAGAAGTCAATTGGTCAACCCTTGGTCAAAGTCAAAGTCAACTGCGAGGGTCAACAGTCCATATTGACCTGAACTCGTTGAGTGCAACCGGCCACTCGCCGAGTTCTTGCATAAATCGTCCGCTCTCCGAGTCTCAAGAGTGACTCGTCGAGTTCCTAAGGTTTGCGGTCGAAACTCCTTAGCCACTCGTCGAGTTTTCCCCTTGCAACTCAACAAGTTCACACGCATCCAACGGTTGGGAAAAACCCTAACTGACTCGCCGAGTCACTCTACTGACTCGTCGAGTCTACGAAAATCTTCATTAGACTCGCTGAGTCATTCATCCAACTCGTCAAGTTTACGACCATCTTCATATGACTCGCCGAGTTGACCATGCGACTCGCCGAGTCCCTTCAATCCTTCATCCATACAGATGCTTTTTAGGCCATGCAAAGGCTCCATATTGCAGATCTAAGCTCTTAGGGCATGTTTATCACGTAAAGTTGCAAACTTTACGTGCATGAAAGATGATAATGGCCCAAAACAAGCTAAAGGAGTGGCTTAAGGTAAGGGAAAGGTCATAGCTTGACAAAGACTGAAACTTTATGACAAAAAGGAGCTAAAGGAGTCCAGATTTGAGGTTGCAACCTCAGATCTTGACCCAAATCGGAGAACCACCACACAAAACCCTAAAAAGGTCCCTAAACCCATAAATGAAGAGATCTAACTAAAAGAGAGCTAAGGTAACAACTTGTTACCTCCAAAATGATGCCAAGACAGAGAAGAATCCGGATCTACAACAGCCTCTTGCTCCAAACATCTTGAACTCCAATCTTTTTACTCCAAAAATCCCTCTTCCAAGCTAAGAAGCACACAAATATAGGGAGCAAACACGAATTAGGGTTTTTGAACTCAAGGGAGGCAGTAAGAGAGGCTAAGGGGGGATAAGTGGTCCTTAAATAGGGTGCAAAATGTAACGCCCCGATTCTCAGGTATTGATTTAAGTAAGAACTTCTCTGGTTATAAGTCCTACTCGACGAGTTAAGTGTGCCTTACTCGTCGAGTAGCAGCGAGGTGGGATTACGCATTTAGTGGTCTACTCGCTGAGTCCATAAAGGGACTCGACGAGTAGGAGCTGGTAGATGAAACCCTAAACTTCGGGGGTATTTCACCCTATTTAAAGGATCATTGGCCATCTCCCAGCCTCCCCTTCACTACTTCTTGCCCCTCTAAAACCCTGATCGTGTGTGAGCTCATTTTGTGCATTCTTTAGCTTGGAGGAGGATTTTCTTGGAGAAAGGAGCTTGGAGGACCAAGCATTCAGAAGCAAGGAGCTTGAAGGACTTGAGATCTGTTCATCTTCTGGAAGGTATAAATTGTTACACTAACCTCGTTCATTCTAGATTCCCTCTTTGGTCAAGTTCTAGGGTTTTCATAGTATGATTGGACGCTATTCTTGCTTGCAAATTCAGATCTGAAGTTGTAACTTCATAACTGAACTCCTTTGGGCCTCTTAGTAAATAAAGTTTCCAGCTTGTACAAGAATGAGACTCCCCCAAAGTGTAAAGCTCCATTGGAAGCATAGATTGATCATGTAGAGCCTTTAGAACCTTGCATGTGCATAAAGTTTGCAACTTTACGTGATAAACATGCCTTAGAAGCTTGGATCTATAATCTGGAGCCTTGCCATGGCTTAAAAAGCGTCTACATGGATGGAGGTCTGCGAGGATTTGACGAGTTGGATGAGCAACTCAGCGAGACCAATGAATTTGGCCGCGAACTCGATGAGTTGGATGAACAACTCGACGAGTCCATTGAAGTTTGCCTTGAACTCGCCAAGTCATTAGAAGACTCGACGAGTCGGCTAGAGTTCCCTTGATTCTTGGGCATGTACAAGCTCGGTGAGTTAAAGGAAAACTTGATGATCCAATCAAGGATTTCACGACTCCTCGAGTTCATGAAGGACTCGACGAGTCGAGTCAACATGGACAGTTGACTATGACTGTGGGCGTTGACCTTCACCAAGAGTTGACCAGTTGACCAGTTGACTTCTGAGGGTATTATGATAATTTGGGAACTTTTGAAGAAAGGGTTTTATGGTATTTATAGGTAGTGAAGTTCGTGTTGGTGATCCGGGAGTTGAAGCTTATTAGTTTCTAACGTCAGTTGCGAGGTGAGTTATCCACACTATACTAAGGGGTCTAAGTCACCAAGGCCGGCCCATTTAATGTGTTACCTTGAACTGTGATAGATGTTGAGTATGATTTAGTGTCGCATGCTAGTGGTTATGCCTATTAGGTAGGTCTATAGGACTACCTGTGATGTTATGTGATTATTGCATGCTCAATTCTTATGATTTATGTGTTTGTTATATGGAATGGGTTGAGGTTGTACTGCTTTGTGCGGTAGCCGACAAACCCTAGGAGCATTCCAGTTAAGGGCTAAGGGAGACTCGTACTTTGGGATCGCGAGCATTCCAGTTACGGGCTAAGGGAGACTCGTACTATGGGCTCATGGGTATTACAGTTTGTAGGGTTGTGGACCCGTTATGTGTTGTTCTGTTTAGTTGAGATGATATGTTATCGTGACATGGTTATGTGGACTGTACGTGTATCGGTATCTTGGGGGTAACTCACTAAGCTTTCGGGCTTATAGTCTCAGTTTAATGTTTTAGGTACATTAGGGGATCGCGGCAAGGCAAAGGCGTGATCGTACAACTCCTTCTGTTATGTTTATGTTTCTGGGAAAAACTCTGATAATTAATATTTTGAAAACAAAGTTGTAATGTTTTGATGAACTTGACATGTTTTAAAAAGTTTAAATTGGTTTGAAATTTTGGATGTTACACAAAACCCAAAAATTAGGCTTTCATCCTCCGGCTCCTACTCGTTGAGTCCCTTCTTGGACTCGGTGAGTAGGTTACTAAAACACCCGGACCAACCCGCTGCTACTTGACGGGTAGGGCAGCCAACTCTTCGAGTAGATCTTGAAATCAATACAATTCTCACATACACCAATACCTGAAAATCAGGGCGTTACACTGTCAATAGCAGTTCATCACGTATCTATGAGTAGACCAAAACAACTCTGCTACTCCACGAATGCAGAGGTCTGCTTGTATAAGGGACTTGTTAACATTACCTAACGGCCATGTTAAATGTAACAAAGATGTTACTGCTTTGGCTAAGACCTGGTCTTGGCCTCAGAGAGCCAAAGTCGGAGCGACAACTCATTTCCCGTCAAAAGGGAAGAACATCCCATGTGATCTCCTCATTCACCCATAACCAATGAGAAAGATACAAATAGCTTGGGTAACGCCCAGAACTGACATCACATGGCGGTTAGTTAGAATGAATAACTCTACCAATAAGAGGAGGCCACGTATCACACTCACAAGAGACGGTCCCCATGATCCGTTCGTAGCAGGTATAAAAGGATCTATTCTGTCTCAAGAGAGGGATCCATCTTCTTTCTCACAAAGATTACTCTAAGATTTCTCTCTCACCTTAGACTAACTTGATCGTCGGGGCAATGTCCCGAGAGAACACCCGTTCGTCCTTTAACGATTCTTTTGTGATTGTATTCTCGGGGAAGCATCGAAGTCAGATCCATCATTCAATATCCAAACCATCTACGAACATGTCACAACACATACTAATTCATATTTTTCCTAAAGTAACTAGATATAAGATTTTAAATAAAAGGTTCTAGTACTTTCAAATAACATTATACTTTTAATGAGATTTAGTTGTCCTATCAATTCCGTTCTGCTAACGACCCCCCCCCCCCTATAGACTAGCTTCGTGAATGAGACATACTAGCGATTTGACTGATTGATTCTTATACATATAGTAATTAATCATGTAATATATATATATATATATATATATATATATATATATATATATATATATATATAAGTTGTATTTTAAAACTTTTCAAAATACTAGGTTTATAGCTTAAATTTCGATAATTAATAAACTATTAATTTAAATTTAAAATAAACCAAATAATTTAATATTTATCTATTAATTGAAAATTAACTAAAATATTAAATTAGATAAGGATTAACTAATTAAATTAATCAAATAATTTAATCCTAATCCTAGCTCTCTAAATTGCAAAAACTAGGGTGTAGGATATATCCAATTTTATAATTATCACATTTAATTCAAATTAAACTAAGAATTATCTAAATTAGGAAAACCTAATAACTAGCCATATTTTCAAAAACTTGGGGAGGAATGCCAAGGTTTCAAAACCCTAGCCCTAAATTTCGAAATCCAAGGGGAATGGGCTAGGGTTTCGAAAAAACCCTAACCCTAGTCGAAACTAATGCCTTTTAGGGTGTAATGTCCATAAACCCTAATTGATATAATTCAACAATTATAACAATTCAATTGAAAACAAACCTTTCTCTGATCCCACTGATAGGTTTTATGCAAAACAATACCTCTTAAGTTCACATACAACCTTAAGGTCTATGTTTTCACCATTGAACCTATAACTCTTAACATCAAATAAGAACCCCTAGATGGTATGGGCTATTTTCGAAAATACAAAAAAGATTTAGAATTACATACCTTAATGTTATTGTAGTAAATAATAATGATTATTCACTTATAGATCCCACAAATGTCGCGCCTCTAATGGAACCACGTCCAAGCTAGCAAGAACATGAATTGAAGGAGTTGAGGAGAGGTATGAATTTTGGCTATCCCTTGTAAATAATAAGTGGCCGAAATTCTAAGGTTTAGGGTCCTTTATATAGTGGTACAAGGAAACCCTAGATAACCCTAATTTAAATTAAATACTATTAATTCACATTTATTAATTATCCAGCTTTCTATTTATCAACATGGGATATTCTAAAAACCTTAGAATATCCCCAAAAACCATTCAACCCTTAAGATGGATGGTTCTTGAGCCTTTTACTCAACTATTTAACAAATACACTTTTGACCCTGCACTTTTAATTAATTATATTAATCCTAAAATTAGTTTTAATTAATTATTAATTAAATAATAACTGTTCTAATTAATATATTATGTTCATAATATGTTAATAAACTTCTTATTTTATTTTATTAATCAAATAATAAATTAACATTTCTCTCTAAAAGTCATTTTGTCTAATTGCTAGGTTTGTGGGCAACCCAAAAGGATTGTGCTACTATCAATTCAAGTATATACCAATTATAGTTATGGGCTTAGACACCTAATACAACACCTAAGTCGTAACTGACGGTTGCTGCATAGTTGCAACATTAGGGGTCTCCAAAACTTGATCCATATGATTCGTTGCATTATCACCTCCCAATCGGCTTTCATAATTTCTTCTAGCACCACATCTTCAATCCTACCAATAACCTCTACCGCTTCACTGGAATCTTCATAGACACATTTTTTCCTTGGAATGCCTAGCTTGATACAACCTAAATGAACCATTTACCACCTCGTTTTGGTGTGGAAAATATTTAACACCATCATCATTTTACCGTGTTGATGCATTATCAACACATGACTCATCATCACTTTGGTCACCATCACTCTCTGACACCGTATTCATATTTTCTGCCGAAGTAGAAAGATCATGTATACTAACATTATAGTCAATTCCTTCAACCAATACCAATATTTTATCTAATATGAAATTAAAGCAAGATGATTTAATATGCATTATCCTAGTGGTTATCCTATTTTTTCCCTCTTCATCGTAGAAAAGCACCTCACCCCATAATGATGTTATCTTTTTAAACGCCCTACATATCCAAGTAGAGAGAGGAAGACCATCTATATTAATTCAAATTGCTGCAATTTTTCATCGCCTCACTTTGCTGCAATTTTAACAAGCCTTCATCAAACGTTACTCTAGCCACATCCAAGTACCCCGATATAATTCACTTCCATGTTTTTAATGCTTCTTTCAAGCAAAGATGAGCAATGTTTCCAACACCCTTAACATCCCTCACATCTCCTATAAGTAAGTACACAATGCAGGTCCGGGACGACAACCATATTAGATATATCTAAAGTAACCTTTTTTTTTACTTACGTATCTTTCAAATTCTTCTCTTTTTGTACTAGCCCCATTACAACATTAGCATGATACACGTTTCCTGAATTAATTTTACCCGACACTGGGATTGGCTCCTTAACACCCCCATTTAACGTCTAGATCTTAACTGATATAAAGGTATATGTTATGTCAATGTAGTTACAATGGGAGACACTGAGACCAATGTAAGGTTTGATGTCCATCATAATAAATAACGGAAAAAACATTTACAAAATTGAATATCCTTCCAACAAGATCACTTACGAAATAATGAAAACAATTACTAACAAGCATAAGGTGTTATAGGAGACTTTGAGACCAATGTAAGCTTTGATGTCCGTCATAATAAATAACGAAAAAAAAATATACAAAACCGAATATCCTTCCAACAAGATCACCTACAAAATAATGAAAACATTTACCAACAAGCATAAGATGTTATGAGTGTTCCTTATATTGAGGTGCACTTCTATTGATACAAGGTTGCAAATGCACATATTTATAACCATCAAAATAACTTCCCTCTACTGTTATAAACTACAAACACTTCATATAATAGATCTAAGAATTATGCATATTCTTCCACTCAAAAGTGAGCAATAACATGGATAAGGGTTTCCACGGGTCAAGACTTCCAAGAACGTCTTGTGTTGGGTATATGCACTTGAGTGTGTAGTATGTGTTGGTCTATCCAGGGTCCAATATTGTATGATGTGAGTTGTTGGAGGTTAATTTCTCGTACTATAAAAGTCAACATATCGACCATGTCACATATCACCTATAAACCCATAAGGCAAGTGATTCATCATACTCCTCTTTACTCTTCCATTTCATTTTTCCACAAACATTATACTAATTTGATTGTGAAGGTATTCTTTAGATCAAACACCATTTTTTTTTCATATGTGCTAGACTTCATAAGACTAAGTTGCATCATCCACACATCCTACCTTTGGGAAATAATAAATCCATAAAGAACTAACAAACTCTTATCCAAGTCATCAAAGTTTAATATAGTTATGTTAGTGATTTAAAATATGTTACGATGTTCGGAATATTTACAACTATTTGTAAGACTCATGTATTATGTGAGTTATTTTGTTTTTAAGTTAAATATAAAAAATCTAAATATTTGAAAACTATGAATTTATAAGAAAATAAGAAAAATAATGAATTATTATAATGAAAATATTTTTTAACTTTTAAATTTAAATAAATAACTTAAATAAACAAATAAAAGAAATTAATAAGGTTTAATTTTGGAAAATTTGAAATTAAAAGGTAAATTATTAATGAAATTGATATATATATATATATATATATATATATATATATATATATATATATATATTTCTATATTTATTACGATTATTATATTAAAATATTATATCAAATTTAATAAAATAAAATAAAAAAAAAATCAAAATAACCATAAAATAATATTTCTATAAATATGACAAGTGATAAAAAAACTCCATTTATTAGAATAAGAAGATTAAAAAACAATTTTATTAAGTTTTTTAGGCCATAGCATTTCCAACTTAACACACCAAAAATCTCAACTATCTCCATTGTAGTAAACAACCAACTTACATAATAGTATATTTGAATTTGCTAAACTAAGTTTAATCTGAAAAGTTCTCCAATAAACTTCTATTAAAGATGAGTGGTCATAATAATTTGATCCAATGGTAGACATTCTAAATAAAATGTTTATATTTCACAAATATATGGTCACAAAATACATCATGTATCATAACTTTTCATTCATGACCTCAGACTTTACCATAAGATTCTGATTCTCCTCCATCTTTATTCAAACCCACTTTAAGAATTCCACCAACACACTTTTACATGTCTTCACCTTCACAATTACCCAAATCCAAAACCCTATTCATTCATTCGTCCAACGGTATAATTAATCCTCTTTCTCCTTATTTAATTCAACATCTGCTTCCTCTTCTTATGTGATTCATCCATTCCATTTTTGTGAAGCTTTCAACGATGGTCAATACCCAGAAAATGGGTTTAATTTGGTTCATACCCATTCTCTGTCTCCTATTTTCTCCATCAAGTAAGTTTTCAGCTGATCTGGGATCATGACTGTATTTTTGTTTTGAATCGTTTGATTTTGATTGTTTCTGGTGATGAACAGGTGCAGAGATTGCAGCTAAACCAGGGGTAAACTATGGGCAACTCGGAAACAACCTCCCTCATCCGAAGAAATCCGTCGAGCTCATCAAATCCCTAAAAGCCGGCCGAGTTAAGATCTACGATGCGAACCCGAAAATCCTTAAGGCACTTGCGAACACCAATATCCAAGTATCGATAATGGTGCCAAATGAAATTATCACAGCTATGGCGCCTAATCAATCGCTAGCAGACGAATGGGTCAGGTCCAATGTCGTCCCCTTTTACCCGAAGACCATGATCCGTTACCTTCTCGTCGGCAACGAGATTCTCTCGCAGCCCGATAATGTCACCTGGTTCAATCTAGTTCCGGCGATGCGACGGATCCGGAAGTCATTAGTTTTCTACAAACTCAAAAAAATCAAAGTCGGTACACCTCTGGCCATGGACTGTTTAGAAGCTTCGTTCCCGCCGTCCAGTGGGAAATTCCGGTCAAGTGTATCGGAGTCTGTTATAAAGCCATTGTTACAGTTCATCCACCGGACTAAATCCTTTTTCTTCATCGACGTTTACACTTATTTTGCTTGGGTATACGACCCGGTCAACATTAAGCTCGATTATGCTCTGCTTCAACCGAATGTTTCAACCTACACCGATCCTATTACCGGGTTGATGTACACTAATTTGTTGGAACAGATGCTTGATGCTCTTTACTTCGCCATGAAAGACGCCGGGTACCCAGATACCAGATTATTCATCGCGGAAACAGGATGGCCAAACGGCGGCGATATTGACCAAATCGGTGCAAATATCTACAACGCCGCCATCTACAACCGGAATGTAATCAAGAGATTCACCGAGAAACCACCGAGAGGTACGCCGTTGAAACCCTTTGTCGTCTTGCCGTCGTTTATATTCGCTTTATACAACGAGAATCAGAAAACGGGTGCTGGTACTGAACGGCATTTCGGGTTATTATACCCGAACGGAACGAATATTTACGAGATTGATTTGTCGGGTAAGACGGCGTTGTCGGAGTTCAAGAAGCCGTTGCCGGTGCCAACGACTAATGAGCCGTTTAAGGGAAAGATTTGGTGCGTGGCGGCGCGTGGCGCTAACAGAACAGCGCTCGCCGGAGCTCTATCATTCGCGTGTGGACAGGGTAACAGCACTTGTGACCCGATCCAACGGGGTGGGAAATGCTTCAAACCCGATTCGCTGACGTGGCATGCGAGCTATGCATTTAGCTCTTATTGGGCCCAGTTCAGGAAATCTGGTGGATCTTGTTACTTTAATGGGCTTGCGACCCAAACAGCCAAAAATCCAAGTAAATATCTTTATTACCCATTTACCCATCCACATCTTTATAAATTGTTATACATTTATTTTACCAACATATTTTAACCATTTAATTTAGCAAACATACTATTTTTAATATCACATTATGCAAAGCCCGGTAAAAAGGGTACAATAATTATGTATAATACTTTTGTAGTATCGTTATACTATAACAAGTATATGCAATACACATTTCGTTAAAATTAAATAATTTAGTGATAGAATTTGTATGCCATAACTTATAAAGTGTTTAATATTTTGCAGGTTTTGGATCATGCAAGTTCCCTAGCGTGACCTTATGAGTTTTTTTGGATAGCGAAAATTGACAAAAGTGTTTTTTTTGGTTAGTTTATGTTGTATCATTGTATGTTTCTTTTTGGATTGCGGAACATTAATCTATTGTCGCAAAATTAGTCTTAGTTTGACCGTCTTGGAAGTCTTTTCTTATATTTTAACCAGCAGTGAGATCTAATTAATTAAAAAAAAAAAAGTTAAAAAAAAAGTTAAATATGAATGTCTAAATATTTAAAAACTTTGGATTTATAAGAAAATAAAAATAATAATGAATTATTAAAATTGAAATGTATTTTTTATATATTTTAAATATAAATAAATAAATTAAAAAAAAAAAGAAAACTAATGAATTTTAGTTTTGGAATTTTGAAATTAAAAAGTAAATCCGTTATTATTTATTACCAGATGTATATTATAATTATTATATTAAAATATTATTTGAAGTTTAATAAAATAGAAAAACCTATAAAATAATGTGGAAAAAAATTAATTTAAAATATTCATAAAATAACATTTAACAAATTTAATGAAAATATGAGATGTATCAAAAAAAAATATTATTTATTATAATAGATATATAATGTTGTATATTGATGCACGTCTGAACGTGCAAACCTCAATTAATAGTTGTATTGATTTTGTTTGCAGGGAAAATATTACATTGCAGCTAATAGAAAAATAAATAAATAAAAATGAAAAAAAAAATACTTGAAACTATCATAAAAAGCTTGGAAAGCTGGGTAAATCGGATGCAATTGAAAATTCTAAGACTTAAATCTTAGACAAAACTTCAAAAATGATCTCTTTGGTTTTCGAAAATTTAAAGTTTAATCTTTAATTTACAAAACTTCATGGATCGTTCCTGTGGTTTCAAAACTTTTAACATATGATCTTTTTTATTAACTCCGTTAGCTTTTGGTTGTTAAGTAAAAGACATTTATGTCTTTTCACTACCACATTGACCATTTATGAAGTTTTGTCTTATTTAAAAAATAAAATATTAAAGGTCTCTCTCTCTCTCTCTCTCTCTCTCTCTCTCTCTCTCTCATAAGACATAATACACCATCATCTTCTTAAAAACTCGCGTCTTCTTCAAAACCCAACTCACCCTTCTACATTTTTCTGTCAACACCCACCTCTCCACCTACTCTAACTACCGTTGTTCTCGTCTCTGCTACATCATCACCGTAGAACATCCAAAATCACCACCGATAGTAGCAACCCATTCTCGGTATCGCCAAACCCATCGGTACAACTGTGAAACACGATCTTCTGCACTCTACCATCTTTCCACGTTGTCGTCATCCCCGTTACAACCCAACACTGTCACCTCCAACACTACATGAAGAACATCATCACTACAACTACCTCGACTCGCAATCTTCTCCCTATAATCATTGTCATCATCTTCACAACAACAAGAAATCAACCCCCACTCACGATTTCTTTCACACACGGACCTGGAAACTTGGGTTTCATTTTTAGTGGACCTTGGTCGTGGATTTTGGAGATTGTTCTCTAGAGGTAACAACAAAGATGATTTCGTATCAACAAAGTAGGGCACCAGTGTTGAGGGGTCTGCTTGATAAACTATTCAACTGGGTTTCTGGAATTGCAGGTTTCCGGTAGATTGAACATAAGTGATTGCAGGCTTAGACGAGTTGCATTAGCAAGTATCCCTCCACTGTATTCGAAATCTCTATACCAAAATGTATTTGTTGGTGGTGTGTAGACGTCATTGCGAGCTTCGCACCTTATTCTCAGAGCATATGGTGTTGCATTTATGGAAAGTCAAATAGTAGAGATTAGAATCAAAGCCAATGTAATGTAATACAAAAGAAATTTAAGTTTCTTTTGTTGTCTAACATAAAGCAATATCAAGGTTTTCAATGAAATAGAGAATCACACCAATTGGATCAAGTTGAATCAAACTTAGCAAGAAGTTAGGAAGATGATCGTAAGATTGTTGACGAACTATAGCTCCACATGTTCTTTCTCTACTTTAAAGGAAATATGTAGTCGATCATTTGAGCTTGACCTCTCATTCTTTTATTTTGGGTTCTAATCAAAAGTTGAGCTCATCGACAATATCACTCATCTGCCCTCCTATACACTTGTTTCTTTTGGTTACTAAGTTGAATATTTAAAGACAATGATGGATCCAACACATGTGCATAAAACAGATAAAAAAGGGAAAACGAATCTTGCACAACATATGTTCGATGAAATGCTCGAAAGAAAAAAACAAAAAAAAAACCCATCAACACCCTATTGGGCTGCTCCGGTAGCGTCGACGGTTGTTAAACATCCCCTGACACATGATCGGAAACTACCACCACTGTCAGTGGTATCAATTCCTGCAACTGGTTCAATAACTCTCCGGTGAGATTCATTGATGGGTATTTATTTTAGGGGTAATAGAGTTTCGATGTCTTTGGAGAGAGAGAGAGAGAGAGAGAGAGAGAGAGAGAGAGAGAGAGAGAGAGAGAGAGAGAGCTTTAATATTAAATATTGTTTTTTAAATACAACAAAACTTCATAAATCGTCCATGTGGTAGTGAAAAGACAGAAATATCCTTTACTTAACGGCTAAAAGCTAATGAAGTTAGCGAAAAGGACCATATGTTAAAAGTTTTGAAACCACAGGGGTAATCCGTAAGATTTTTGTAAATTAAGGACTAAACTTCAGATTTTCGAAAACCACAAAGACCATTTTTAAAGTTTTGTCTAAATCTTATGAGCCGTAAATTTCATAAAAATATCAAAAGTAACACTCTTAATTACGATTAACATATCTAAAGTGTTAGATGATCACTTTTACACTTTTTGATTTGTAGGCTTATGTTAATATATGTTTTTTCAGTTTATTCATCTATCATCGTTTAGCATCTTTACAAAATAAGAGAACGAACCCAAACAAAATAATGTGATAAACAAATGAATATAAACAAGAAAAATCGTTTGTGTTCATTTGTTTATTCAATTAATTAAACAAATGAATATAAACCAAACATTTTTCGTCTCGTTTATAACTGTTTAATTATGTTTTACGTAACCTTGGGACTGCGAAACGTTATTCCGTTGTTAGTATTTTATATTAAAAAAAAAAAAAAAAAAAAAAAAAAAAAAAAAATCATTGGTAACGGATGTTTTGATTAAAGTAATACTCGCTTATGCATATTACAAGTTTTGGAAAAAAGAGTGTGGTGTGGGTCAGATGGTTGGTTTATTTTGTCTTATCCTTTTGCAGTCCGAATAATATTCGGATATCTTTTCAAATTTTCAATAACTTATAATTATAAATAGGACAACCAGAAAAACCAATACGTTTTCATCTATTGTCAAAAAAAAGTTTTTAAATATTAAATCACTTTTGTTTAGCAACTTTAAAATATCTTAATTTTATAATAAATTAATTCAAATCATAACCTAAATAACAATAAAAATATCATCAAGCTTCATTAATCTTAATACCATAGTCCCATTGATTATACAACATCATTAATTCATCGTACTATCAACTTTGTGATTTTACTTTTAACTTATTAGATATTTTAGATAAAGATTAAGATGTAATTAGCAATAATATAACAATATTTCAAAATTCTAATATCACGTATAATATTAAATTATAATTTTGAAATCATATACTAATAATTAAAATATAAGAATATACCTCTAATATCATAAAATAAAAAATGCATAAGTTTCTTTAAAGATATTAAATATCCTTCTACTTATTTGATGTGTGATTATATATATATATATATATATATATATATATATATATATATATATATATATATATATATATATATATATTAACTGCTTAAGTTTTAAATATATAAAACAGATTTTATTCGCAACCGAACTAATACACACATTAGACAATGAACCTAATCGTGCAATAATATAGTTGTGATAAGATAAGATGTTGAACACTTAAGGAACAATAGTGAATTAATATTAAGATGTTTGATTATAGGTTAAATTAAACGCACAAAAACAATAAAACATATCTTTTGATAATTAAATTAATAGATAAACTAACTAAATAAACAAAATGAAAACAAATCACTTTGGGTATTCTGGTTCAGACTGAATTTCATCTCAAAATAATGGCTAACTACTAGTGCAATGGATATTTATTCATTATTCACCGATTCATAATATGACTAGAATTTATGATCAAAAGACTAATCATTTAGTAAAACAAGTTCATTCATTCATTAATCAAGCGTACAAACAAACAGGCATACTAGTGTTAAGTTCAAATTATGCAAGACTTGAACCGGTGAATGATATTAATGGTTAATAACATCAATTCAATACATGAATGATCATCATATATTAGCTCTTACATTAATTTACCAAAATTTCTATTTAACCCTATGCTTTTTTTAATCAAAACTCTAGCCTTATAACTTTGATGATGACAGATTCATAAGATACAAGCCTACTAAAACAAATTGATCATTTAATCTTAGTAAAACTTAGCAATAAATAGAAACGTAACATCCCAAAAATTCCAAGAAAAATTTAAACATTTCAAAACAACCCATTTACTCATAAAGGTGTTTACACAATCATTGTTTCTAAAACATTTTTTAAAATCAGAGTCTCCTAAGATTCGATCGATAGTAAAACCGAGGATGTGTACGATCAAGTCTTCGCCTCGCCACAATCATCTAAAGCACCTGAAACAATAAACTGAAACTTTAAGCACGAAGTTTAGTAAGTTCCCCCAAAATACCAACACGTGAATAAATAACATATTCAAATAACAACATATATTGGGTTCACAACTAAAAGATTGGATTACCCCTCAGCCCACAGTATGATTCTGACTTGCCTATCGGGCCCACAACTCATACATAGCTTGCTCCTGAGCCTACAACATAAGTTTGGCTTGCCCTCGGGGCCCACAGCTTATGTCTGACTTGCTCCCTAGGTCCACAGCATAAGCCTGGCTTGCCCCTGGGGTCCACAACTTATGTTTGGCTTGCTTCTTGACCCAATCATTCATCAAACTGAAATTCTCTCAAGCCCTCAATATGAGTCTGGCATACCATTCGGTCCTCAACTCGTATCTGGAATGCACCTGAGCCTTCAGTATGAGTCTGGCATGCCCCACCGACCCTCAACTCATAACTGGAGTGCTCTAGGGTTCG